TTAATTGTTACTAACAGCGAAAGAAATGCGAAAAAAAAGTGGCGACAGAAAGAAAAGGCAAAAGTAGTAAAATGTTTACTAAAACAGTTGAACAACTTGTATGTTATCAAAGCAATAGTAGAAATAAACAAAAAAAATTTCAATTTTAGAACTGAAGCATATGAAGGAAGTTCAAATGAAACTATTGTTATGAAGGCTGATGCTCTATAGGAGCGGCAAGAAAGCGAAGAGTGGATAGTTGAGGAATGAAAGGGTGCAGTCAGATTTAGAGTTTGTGAATTTTTGAGGCTTATCGTTTTTCTTTTTCTTTCATTTTTTTTTTTAATTTGCGTTCCTTTCTTCTTCAAAAACTGTTGCTGTTTATTTTGGCTTACATTTGAGGTCGTTGCTTAAACACTTAGTTTAATCTTAAGTGTGGTCAGTGTTATGAGACGACGGTAAAAAAAATGAATAGAAAAAAGGACTGAAATTGGTGCTCGAGAGCTGAAACTGAGAGCACAAAGATATAAAATAGCTTTGCCTTAAAAACTTTCTAATTCAGTTGTATGCGGACTCTTTAAAAGAGCTTGTCAATCAAGCTATATGCTTAATAAAATCTTTAAAAACCTAACTTACTTGAAAATTTTTCTATTTCAGAAAAAAAGAAATTTTCTCTCTTACTTTACTACTAACTTTTATTTTTCTTTATATATATATACTTGTATGCTTATTTATTTATATTTATACATATTTGTTAATATATTCATTTTTTTTTAAAAAATTTGCTCATATAGTCGCTTTGTTAGTGTGTGTATTCTACTTTTCCCGTTATTTGCTGCTTCGAACGTTACCCATTTTTTCCTTTTCTTTTGAAAATTAGTAAACGAGGTCACCCTTAAATTTTCACACATTGTTTATTCAACTTGCTTAAATTAGCCAAAAAAAAAAAACATTTTTTGTTGGTATTTGCAACCGGTTAAGGAAACTTTATGAGAAGAGATAGATGGAAGATGTAAAAGCGGATTTGAAAGAGGTTACGAAATTGAAAAATTCAAAAAAAATAGTATAAATTTGTTTACTGTTAGGGGAAGAAATGATTGGTTTATTTGCAATAAATGTTTTGCATCTGAATCATATTAATCTCTTGTTGTATCTGCCTTTCAGCGTTATGCCATTATGAATATTTTTCGTATTGTTACTTTTAATAAATTACTGCAAAATAAAATATTTTATTTAAGGTTATATAAACTACAAAAGTGGTATGCCACCATTAAACGGTGAGCTTTTCTTGATTCTTGTAAAAAATACAGCGAATTGTAAAATTTAAATTTTTGACAATTTGTTTACTAGCGATTTCCGTGAAAGCAGAAATTACTTTCTGATGATGAACACGATGTTAGTGTTCATTATAAAGATGATGAGGGTGAGGATGCGATGTGATTGAGTAATATATTCTGTAATACGTTAAAATATCGTAAAACAGTGATTACTGGCGTCTTATAAAAAACAGTTTGAATAACGTTAAAATTGATTACAGCAATTTTTTGTTTCAGAAAATCAGTTTACTCAGAAAGTAACTATTATGACCTTTCTAACTTTCCTATAAAAAATTGCCGTTTAAACTAATGATATTTAAATAATGCTTTGCCATGTAAATGAATATCGTGCATTACAGTAACCAAAACTTCCTCATTGAAGGGAAAGCTAACAACTGATTAGCTATTCTAAGCCTTAAAACAGAAGAGAAAAAAAGTTGGCTGCTTTATAATCGGTAAGAATGGTCAAAGAAGGTGATAACTGTTTTCTTTCTTTCAGCAAAATAGACCTTTTCGCTCTTTTTTGAGTATAAAGTGACAAATTTACTTTAGTTTTTTAAGAACAAAAAAAAGTGACCAATGACGATAAGAGTGTTATAAAGGTAGGAAAAACAGAAAAGCGGAAAAGAGGCGAAGAGTGATAAAAAAAGTCTGAAGAAAGCTGACGCAAGCCTGCCTTAAGATGTTAAGGTTTTAAGTTTGTCGAACCTGTTATATCTAGTTTTTAAAAGTTTCAATGTATTCATGGCCCGTGTTCATAGAGATCAATCTGTTCTTACACTAAGCCTATTCCGAAAGGGCGTGGTCGTCCGGGCGAATTGCTGGTAGTAGTGATGATGTCGGTGGTGGTGGTGACGCTACCGCTATTGAAACTTCTTTGCACTTTTTCAATTCTGTGGCTTCCCACACTTTTGCTTTGACAAACACGCAGACTCTGATATTATTCGAATTTTGTCGCCTTCAACAAACCGAAGAAAATACGTTTGGTTTTTGAAGGCGTATTTTTTCTAGAGTTGTATTTCCGTCGCTGATGTCAATTTAAGTGTTTATATATGACTATGCTTGGTATGTATTATATGTGCGTTGTTATATAATAATGTATATGAGCCCTGTTCGCTTCAAATAGTAAAAGGGAAAGGAAAGAAGAAATTAGAGGAAATAAGAAAGAACCCTTAAGCAAACACTAATCTTGAAAAAAAAAGAAAAGAAGAAAACTTCTTAGTAACAATATTCATTAATAGTGACCAGCAGTGAATTATCCACCATCACCTAAGCGTCATTTGCTGTTTGCTAATACTATTCATACTATCGTCATCTCCTGAACTGCCTCGCCCACCTCATCAAGATCTTCATCATCATCCATAGACCAATCATTATACTGACATCAGCGGCATCACTATTGAAAATTTTTTTCATTTTTTATCAACGAAATTACTCAAAATTAAAATAATTAAACTCTGAATCTAAGTGTAACAGGCTGAATTAGTCTATTCAACCAAACAGTCAATATCAAATAATGTATCGTGGTCAAATCTTCCGCTCATTACAGAACAGGAAAGTACGAGCACAGGATCTGCTGATGGTATGGCAGAACAGCAACAACAACAACAATCGCAGCAACAGCAAAACCGACGACCCTCAGGTCGTATGGGACGGCGTTTTACACTAAATCCCTTGATATTTGCAAAAGAAGAGCGAGATGCTAGACGTCAATCACTGGCGCAGCTCAAACTTTCATATTATCCGCAAAATGCTCATCGTAAGTTCTTTCACCAGCAGTTTCTTCTTGTACTAGTGTTTTTCATTTTCTCACATTTATACTTAGCCTATCTATTTTCCTCTCTCCATTTTTGGCTCCCTTCTCCTTTCCTGCTGTAATCCGTCTCTTTTTCTAATTTTTAATGATCACTTAGTTCTATTCATTTCAAAACATCACTTTTTTGTTTTTCAACGTTCGTCGTTCCTATTCGGTAAAATAATGTCTGTAACAGTCAAGCAAAATGGTGTGGAAAAAGTCGACCAAAACAGTCATATAAGTGTTTGAATGATAACAAAATGATTTTAACTTTTCGCACACTGCTGTCTCCTTTTCTTCTTCTTCTTCTCTTTTTCTATCTGGATACCTCCAAAATTAATTCGATAAATATTGATAAGACTACAAAAAGCGAGGACCTTGGCATATTTATGCATGTTTGAGAGGAAAGTGGGAGGAAGGAACAAAAAAAAATATTTTTCTTTCTTTTTGCAAAGTCCTACAATACATAAGCCTATAAATGCCCCCTAATTTGCTTTAACTTAAAATGTGAGAAGAAAGTGAAAAAGAACTTTTCATTCCATTTTTTCATGGACTTTTAAAAATTATTCAAAGAGGAAATGAAATTTTTTTTGCTTATCGGCACTTCTTCCTTGCAGAAGTTTATTCAAAATCTAAGTATAGTATAGGAAAGCAGCAAGTATAGCTAGTCTTTATTTTGCTTTGCCCTCCTGTTTTTATCCTTTTTAGCTTTATTTCGGTAAACCGAACTAATACAGTTATCAGGCATCAGTACTGGAAAACCTGTAAATTCTTAATTTTCTAGCTTTCTATGGAAGATGATTAGAAGTCTCATGCACTCGCAAACACCCAAACAACTATATGCGTAAAAGATAAATAAGAATATATTCCGACTCCTTCACATCACAAATCTTTTGCATTTTACTTGAGATAAAATTAAGCTCAGCTTGTGGAGCTCAATCTTAGTTTGAAATCTATTCTATAAAAGCTTTTGCAGTAAGTAAAGTATTCATTCAAGAATAAACATTTAATAATTTGATGGTCTAATGTATTTCTTCTTTTCTCCTTATCCTTCTTTTTTTTTATCACTGTTGCTTCTATTGAAAATAGCATTCCTTATCATGTTATTACTATCATACTTATACTTTTTTGACAGATATTTTACGAGAAATTATCGTAAAAAGAACATTTTGTTTGCGAGTTTAACTAGTAACGAAAGTTATCGAAATAATCGAAGAGGTTGTGCCCACGTTTAGGGCAACTATTGAGCAAAAGGCATCTACTAAGTTTCGACGAGTTATTAATTAGTTGACAGCTGGATAAAGAAACCAAAAAAAGAATATATTATTAAAAATAAACAATTTAACAAATAACAAGTAGATAAATAAACAGATATATAATTATAACGAAATAGATGCATCAAATAAAAATCTCAATGATCAAAAACTACTTTTTAAGGAAATAGATTTTTGAGGAGAAAGTGGAAAGGTTGGAAAAACTTCAGTGTCAAACATTATTTGAAATAACAACGTTTTTCCATTTTTTCCATTTTTAGTTAATATTTCACAATTTTACTGAGGAGTTGCTTTGGTAGTTATCCACTCAAAAACGTTTCAAATACAGGAGGAAGACAAACTACAAAAACTGCGGCTTCAGTAATAAAATCAAGTTCCCACTCAGTGCTCTTTTCCCGTCATGAATTGTAACGTTTTTTTTGTTCTTCTGTCCTTTTGTCAGCACTTAAAAGAAGTACTGAAATACAACAGCAAAATAACAACAACATAACAATAACAATAACAGTAGCAATAACAACAACAGTAACAATAATAACAATAGTAAAAATAAAAATAATAATAAATAACGACAATAATAATAATACTGCCACTAATAACAATAATAACAGTAATACTAATTATAAGATAACGATAATAATAATGATAATAACAATGATGATAATAACAGTAAAGATATTAATATTAATAATAATAATAATAACAATAATAATAATAATAATAATTATTATTATTATTATTATTTTTATTATCATTTTTATTTTTATTAATATCTTTATCGTTATTATCATCGTTGTTATTATCTTCATTATTATCGTTATCTTTATAATTAGTATTACTGTTATTATTATAATTATAATTATAATTATAATTATTATTATAATTATTATCATTATTATTGTAGCAAGCTGACCAGAGAAGAAATCAACTTTTTAGCTTTACCCAGTCTCACTTCCCAAATTTTTTGCAACTATTTTTCACTTATCAGCTTCATTGTTCACTTCTAACTATCCTACTGAGTTGGCAAAGGAAACTATGATTAAGTATCCTACCGCGTAGCAAAAACAGAGACCAGCTGTTTCCAAGGACTGACGGCAAAAGTTAAAATATTGGAAAAGTGACTAGCAGCGGTTAAAGAAACGTTTCAGAACAAAATAACGGTTGACAACTGCAAAAAAAAAGATATTATTGACGGAAGAATGGACTACTGATCTGCAACGCAACAACCACAACAGGAGAACTAAGTTAGGCAGCAGATTGGCAGTCACCTCTATTAATGTTATTACATAACGAAGCAAAAAACAGTCCAAAACAAAATTTTCTTCCTAATTTTCAATTTTAAATTTGTCAGCATTTCGTTTCTTCCTCAGTGACTTGTGCATATGGCAAAGGCGGATTAAGGAGCAAAAAATTGAAGCACAGTTTGTTATCAAACCTTAAATTTTAATAGATATATTGCGCCGTAATCTGTCGATAGTTTTTCGTCTCACTACTATTCTCGCTTATTTTTGGTACTACCTCAAAACATCTGC